GGGCTAGGGCTGTGGGCTAGGACTGGGGCTATGGGTTGTGTGCTGGGCAGGGACTGGGGCTGCGGGCTGGAACACCCTTCCCCTACCCCTCCCTGCTGCACTAGTACAGCAGATTGTGGATGGCAACTTCTCTGTCTCCCCCATCAGACAGAGAGGGGCCTGCAGGTGGGGCTGGAGTGTTCCCCGGTGCTTGGAAGATTCACAGCACATCCTTATGGGCCCAGAAACAGGCCCCTAAAAGGCTGGGGGCTGCTGTCCCCACTGTATCAGGCTGTGCAGCCCATGGTGCCAGAGAAGTGGAAGGCTAAGGCTAAAGATAAAGATGAGGCTAAGGTGGGGCGCCTGGGTGGCTTAGTCGGTTAAGCATCCGACTTTCGCTTAGGTCATGATCTCGCGGTTCGTGGGTTCGAGCCCTGCATCGGGCCCTGTGCTGACTGCCAGCTCGGAGCCTGGAGCCTGTTTCAGCCTGTGACTCCCTCTCTCTCTGACCCTCCCCTGCTCACGCTGTCTCTCTCTCTGTCTCCTAGAAATAAATAAAAAATATTAAAAAAAAAAAAAAAGATGAGGCTAAGGATGAGAATTTCTACTACGACCAAGGCAGTGGCTGACATGCATTTTCTGTAAGGACCGGCTACTAAAGTTTTTGGCTTTGCAGGCCATATACTCATTGTCTCAACTATTTAACTGTATTGTTTTAGAGCAAAAGCAGCCACAGATATCACATAAACAATGGGCATGGCCATGTTCCCATAAAACAGTACTTACAGCTATTAATGGAGGACCCGTGGGTGGCCAGCACCCTGCCTGCTACCTACTCTAAGGGCTTAAAATCTCACTTACTTCTCCCAACATTATATCCCATAAACACTATTATTATCCCCGTTTTGCAGAGAAAGAAACCGAGGCTCAGAGAGCAGAGGAAACGACTCATCCAAGGTCACACAGGTAGGAAACGCCAGAGTTGGGATTTGGACCTGGGCTTGATGGGCCTTAAAAGCCTGGTTACTTCATGCCAGGCAGGCACCCGCTCCCCTGGGGCTGTGTTCCCACCCAAGAGCCAGATCCAGGCTAAATGGAAGAGAAGGTGCCCCAGAATGGAAGCAAGTCATGAGAGGGACGTGCTGAGCTAGAAGCATAGCATTGGAGGTGGCCAAGGAAAAGCCAGCCCCATCCCCTGCGGGCTTCAGGGAGTGGGAGCCCAGGTCCCTGGGGGCCTCATGGGACCAGCATCAGCTCCCAATCAGCTCAGCTGCTCCCAAAGTGCGGGCAGTGGCCACCCCCATCCTCCCCCACAAGCCCTGTGGGGTTAATCCTGACTGTTGACTGGTTGACCCCCTGCAATCTCACCTGGCTGGGTTTCTTGATGCAAAAACAACTCCCTTCTGGTGGACGGACTGGGGTGGCCAGGCTGAGACCCCAGAATGTCCGGAGCTTTCGGTGGACAGCTCCC